CCTCAGAAAACCTAACCCTTAAGGATTTTTATACCTTAGAAGAGGTTGAGAAGACAGCCAGAAAACATTTTAAAGACGAGGACATGCAAAATATTAAGGAAAAGTTAATTGAACAGATCCCCATAGCTGTGGATATGAAAAAGGTAGAGAAGCTACGGGATGTTTTTCTGGCTGGAGATATATCTTGGTTTTCATTGCGAATTTTTGCTAAAGAAGTTGGTCTAAAGGAAGACGTTATTGACAATATGTTTAATGAACACAACGTGTTTATTTATACTGCACATGCCCTACAGTATAGAGACTCTCGTGAACGGCTAACTTCAAATGTTAGTGATAACGTCCAAGCTTTAGTGACTCAGCGGGTTCACCAGGAGAATTGTCTCAATATTTACAAGGAGTTTGAAAATATAATTGTTCAACATAAAAAGGATTTGTGGTTGCAGGAATATTTATCAACACACAGAGAAATTGTGGCCCCATGACAAGGTCACAAATCCTAATAGAGGCTTCTGGACGAGGAGTTCAGGTAACAAATGATACTTTTGAAGAAGTGTATAAGAAATACCGACCAAATGTAGGGCTGTTGGGTAATGCTTGTCAATGTCGAAATTGTCCTTTTTACCTGATACCCAGTAAAAGGTATAATCAACACTTACATTTAGCACGTCATTATTCTTCAAATTATCCTCATCATTTGCACTCAGCAGCCTATTTTTGCAGGCATGAAGACATAGCAGATGCTATCTTGTACCAAGAGTCTATTAGTAAGTCTCAATTAGATAATGCTTTCATTGAGGACCTTACATTTTTACTAAATATATATCAAGAAATGGCCCCCTACTGATGATTAATTATTTAATAATTCATCCAGGGCCACCCGATGTGGGTGGGCCAACTCAATTGTTATTATTGCTGTGACCACCTCTGTTGATTTTCCCCTACCTAAGCTTTATTAATTAAACTTGGCTCGTGCCATATTTAAGGTTAGTAGTAGTATCCCCTATTGTACTCACTACACAATTTTATGATATTAAATTGGGTGGTACTGTTTTTTTTTATAATATAATTATTGTATTTATGTATGTAGTTAGAAAAATATATTTATTGGAATGGTTGATTTCCTTCATTTTCCCAGAGCATCTTCACACAAACTTTATAGCATATTAACACAAACAAGGTTAAATCTGGCACACACACACACACACACAAACAAACATTAAGGCATTCAAATAAACAATGTTTATTTATTATAAACACTTTAATAATAGTGGATATTCTATTTTCTAGTTCACTCTCTTGTTGGTTGGTGGCATCTTCTGTGTTAACATCTTACGCTCGTTCTTGAGGTACTAGTTCACTCTCTTGTTGGTTGGTGGAAACTTCATTCTTCTGTGTTAACATCTTATTCTCGTTCTTGAGGTAAAACAACTCTTTCTTTTTCTTCCTCCCTTATATATTCTATTTTCTAGTTCACTCTCTTGTTGGTGGTGGAAACTTCTGGTAGATAACAACATTCTTCTGTGTTAACATCTTATTCTCATTCTTGAGGTAAATCAACTCTTTCTTTTTCTTCTTCAAGAGTGTTTCCATTCTTTTCAAGTTTTTAATCAACTCAGCTTGTCTCTGCCTAGGGTTAATCTGGGAAAGCATCTTCGTACAACTTTTTCTTGGAAGGGCAGCAAAGCGTGTGTGGTGGGCTGGCTGGATGGCCGTCCGTTAGTGGATGTAGTGAGAGTGGCCACGGATATTTATATATGTGGCTCAGCTAACACAGTGCTTCCGGCAACCAGCTATTAGTCAGAACCGGGACTTTTATGTGGTACTTATTACTATCTAGCTTATCTAGGCAATTCACAAACACAACGAAAACAACATATGTCCCATACAGTCCTGCCCTTTCGATAACCTACACTGAATACACTGAATAATAATTACCAAGGCAAAATTTAAAAAAATAAAAACATGCACACTTTTATTTAATGAAAATTACAGTGGAATTAATATGGAATGAAACATGTCAACCCTTTGTGACCATTGAAAAAAAAAAATCCTTATTCTTGCATCTTTCATATTGTTAAGCTAAACAATGTCCCAGGTTCTTTCCTAAGTCATGCATTTGAAAATAATTTAGTTTTATTATCTTCTTAGCATGAAATGTTTCAGGATTGTTGTTATGGTAGTTTACATATATTATGTGTTTCTTCATACCCTAAAAAGATCAGAATATTTGCTATGATATATGAATCTTGATGATTCACCCTTGTTTGCTTCATTATGTGTTTGTTAAAATTCCTAACCTCCCATTGAATCCAGTTATATTTATTTTTAACAAGAGAGTTTAGAATTGTTACGCCTACATCCATTCCATTTATGTTTCTCCTACATTGCCAATGTATTTTCTCGGGCCAAACCATACTGAGCAACAGCGCTTGCAGTTTGTATTCGACTTCACGTTCAGCCATATATTGGCACATTCGTTCCTTATCCCTATGATTACTATTAATGTAATCTTTATATTCTGTCGTATATAGCTCTTGACTAGCCGATATGAACATAAGAGTAAGGCGGTTTATTTCATTCAACAGACAAGCACAAGTTGAACTACTCTCACCTTCTAAATGAAAATTACACTGTAGATCATTATTGCTGTTTTTATTTGTGGTATAGAAGGTAATACTCTTTGTGGAATCCTGGTATCCATTAATCAAATTTTGGGCGAGTAAATGACAAAGATTTGTAATACTATGTAAAACTGGTGGAAATGTATAAATATTACCCCGACGGTATAATACATTTCGAGATTCATTAAAAGATTTATTTATTGTTATTTTGTCTCTAAATGTGTGGATGTTCTTATTTCGGATATCGAAGACTGCCAGATTTTGTAAAACAGGTAATTGGAATAAGATTTGATTATTTCCATAGACCCAGACATATTTTATATCATATTCTGACACCAGAGTTTCTAGACATTCGCTTAAGTTATTTAATTCTTCTTGATTTTGGTTTAATTCTTCATCTGTTATTTCATCTTTGTTCGTTTTTGTATTTATATCTAGATACCTATTAATGCATTTGAAGGGGAAATGAAAGACCGATTTATCTACATAACAATAACCATTAGCCATATTTACTACTGAAGCAGAGGCTTCGTATAGGATATGTCGTTTATGGACATATCCATTCGATTCAGAAAAAGTTTGTATATAATTAAAAGCTAATAAAAAACAATTTTCCATTATTATTAAACCTCTATTTTTTTAAAGAAACAAATGTATATAAGTATAGTTTAATATTATCAGATGATATAGTTTAGTTTATTGTTCATAGCGTTGTTTATAATAACAATACCTGCTGGTCTAATTGTAAAACTTATTGTTCAAAAATTATAAGTATAACCGTTAATCAATGCTTTTTGGGGTTCAAACCAGCATATGTTTGATATTCTGTTAAAATAAATTTTTTTATGAATTTATTATAACTAAAAAACAATAGGAAAAAAAGAAAAAAGTAGCAATGGGGTTAATACGAATTTTAGTTGCTATAATCCTAATTATAGTCGTTATAATAATTATTTATTTACGCGGAAAACGTATCAATGTCAGTAAGGCTATCAGACATGATCCGATTCATGAAACAACATTACAATCCACCATCAGTCCAACAACAACAAAATTCTCTGAAACATTACAAACCACCATCAGTCCAACAACAACAACAACAACAACAACGTCCTCTGAAGTACTTCAAGAAACAACATTACCATCCACCATCAGTTCAACAACAACAACAACAACAACAGAGTCCTCTGAAGAATCTAATATAATCATCTCAAAGTTGGAATCATTATTCTCCCCGTTTATCAGAGATATAAATACCTATAAAGGTCTCGTAATTATTCCTAAACCACCAATTTCGTATAATCCTAAGAATAGAATCGAAAGTGAGAATACAATCATTAAGCCTTTTAATAACTTCCTTTTAAATTACAATAAAATCCACAGATATTTAGATAATAATATTGTCTCAAATAACACAAATTATGTATGGCAAAATTCTAGTTACGACAAGGGATATTATACCAAAAATCCAATTATTTTAATATTTCCTTGGAATATTAATGATTTGAAACCTAATGTTTATACAGATCAAAGTGAAATACAAGATGTTAAATTACAAAACCATATAAATGCAGTACGGACCAAATCACATAATAAAAGAAAAAAATTCGACATGGACAAATTGTGGATATCATGTACGCATGCGGCAAGTCAAGATATATTTATTCAGGGATTCTCTAAGTATGATTTTCCAATTAAAGAAAATTCATTACCACCATTTGTGGTAATGAAACTTGAACTTCAAGATGGTAATAATGAGGTGGAATGTAAAATGGTGGCTAAGAACATTAATTCCTCAGAAACCTTTGCTAGCATTAAATTTAATATCTATGTGGAAATCTCGGAAGAAGAACAAGAAACAGGAGGAAGATCAGGACTCCTCCCTGATATGGTTTCCGATTATGAGTCCAGAAACGTAATATTCGAGAGAATGTAAAATTATGGTATCCTGTATTCAATGCAAGAAATAATTATTTTGAATGCTGAAAAATCAACATTGAATGTCCTATTCAAAATAATGTGCGTTTCATTTCATTTCAATAAGATAAAATTAACATTGGACTTCAAAATAGGTATTTTTTTCTCACCCCATAAAAAATGAGTGAAATTGTTAAAACAATCTTGAGTATGGTACATTTCCCTGAGGATGGGACCTCAGGTTTAAGAGAACGTATAAATATAAAAACTTATTTAAACAATGTTTCTGCTAAAGATGATGATGAAACAAGAACAATCATATTACTAAATAAATTGTTTCATTTATTTGATCTATCTGATCGATACATAAAATTAATAACTAAAACATATCCTCTTATTAAAAGTCAATATCAACAAAAGGAAACCATAGCTTTATTAAATAAACAATATGATGAGTGTAATATGGAAAAAAAATTCCTAGAGACTGCGATAGCAGAAAAAGAACGCGAAATACTCGATTTAAATAAACAAGTTGACAAGTTTACAACTGAAATAGAAAAACAAAAAAATATAATAAACAAAATAGAAATTGACAACAATGAATATGAAGAAGAATTGAAAACCCAAGTATTGTATTTAGGTCAATTAAAAGAATGTGAAGATAAAATAGAGGAAAAAGACAAACAAATAAAAGAATTAGATAATAGAAATATAGAAAAAGACAAACAACTAACAGAAAAAGACAAACAAATAACAGAATTAGGTAATCAAATTAAACAGTTACATATTCTAACTAATTCAAATAATACTGAAATAAAATCTAAAAATGTTGAACTCAATAAAAAACTACAACTATGTACCACACAATTATCTGAACAAACACAAAAAATAAATAGAATAAATGAAGAATTAACTCAAAGTTATAGATATATTACCGAGTTAAAGAGTTCTTTAAACGATTGTGAAAGTGATAAAAAAATAAAAATTGATATAACTGAAACTTGTAAACGAGAAATAAATGAAAAACAAAAACAAATAGAATTTTTGAATCTAAAGCGGCTTAATGAAAAACATCAACTAGAAGAAACTTACAAAAATGAACTTGAGAAATGTAACTATGAAAAACATGAACTAGAAAAACCTATATGAAACAAATTGAGGAACAAAAACAAGCCCATCAACGGCAATATGAGGAGTTATTATCACTCAAAACAAAAGAACTTGAGAAACATCAACAAGAAGAAGAAACTTATAAACAACTTCAGGACCAAATGCTAAATAAATATAAGGAATTATTGGCGAATATGAACACAATAAATAATTCTAATAATACATTATTTAATAATTTAAAAAAAAATCTATATTATCAAATGATGATATAACTGAATGTTTTTCAAATATATTGTTTATAAATAATAGTTATTCAAGTGAAAAAAATAAACTAATTGAAGAAATAATAATAAAGATTATTGATCATTTTAATACAGAACACAAGAATTATATTCAACAAGAACACACAAATAGAATGGCTAAGTTAAATGACATTATTAACAATAGTAATTATAATAATAATGATCTACAACCTGAAAATATAGCAAATATATTATTTACTAACGAGGAAGAAAGAGGGTTATTTAATCATATACTAAATAGTTTCAAAACTAATATTACTGATGAAATAGTAGAAAAACACAAAAAAGAATTAATGCCTTATGTTGATTTAAATGTTGTTTTAAAGCGTCAGTTACAAGAACCAAATTATTTGGCTAAAATGTTAGTAGATGAACTTGCATCTATGGATTTAGTTAAAGAAAAGATAATAGAACAACTTGCGGATTTATACAAATATACAAAAGAAACAAATTATGAAGTTAAAAAGGTATATACTTTTATTACAATTATATATACAATTTATCAGAACGAACTTAAAAAAGATTTTAGCATACGAAATATAAAACACTTTTATGTAATTATCTTGCAAGTGATTCGCAAATCATATGGTGATACTTCTAAAATATTAGCCATTCAACAAATGCAGGAATCAGAAAATTCGATATTAAAACAAACAAATAAAGAAATGAATTCTAAAATGTTAGTCATGACTTCTGAATTAAAAGAATCGAAAATACATTTGTCGATGATTAATACAATTGACGTTTCTTCAGACTATGATGAAACTCTAGTAGAAAAGTTCACTTCTATTATCAGAACTATTATTAATGAACTCGATGCTTACCTATCAGAGAAGTGCCGAAAAAAGTATTTGTTATTAGCATTCGATCAGATTAAAGTAAAAGAAATATTTTGTAGGAATAGTGTTGCCAAAAATGAAATGAAACAATTATTCTATTCTCTTTCGAATCATATTTCTAAATTTATATTCTGCGCCCAGTTCTATAAAAATCTTGTTACGGTAATAAACGATAAAATTCTTATGCCTTCTATTCAATTAAACCTATATTTTTCACAAAACCTATATGACATCGATACTATGAAAACAGCTTTATTAAACTCCCAAAATATAAAGAAAGCTATTAAAACCCCTTCTGTTTTTCCCATTATATATAATATTAAGGGTTTAACACTGATTGGAGAAAAAATTAACATTAACGACGATGAAATTTACAAAAACCAAATAGTGTCTATTGATAACAAGGATAACAATTTAAAATTACTTACATTATTGAACAGTGATGATATTGAACAAGAAAAGAAATGGTTTATTGAAACACAAATAATAAAGAAGTATTTAAATGTAATCGGCGATGAAATCATTTTAAAAACAATTTCCTCTCAGAAAGTTTCATCACAGGAAACAACAAAAACATCAAAAACATATAAAACAACAGATTCGGGGACAAAACAAAAAGATGCCAAACAACGATCAAAATTAAATACCCAAGACAGACGAAAAAATGAAATATTGACTCTGAAAAAGAATCAAAGAGGAAAACAGTTCATGAATAGGAGAGGAACAGATGGAAAGCAATTGGAAGAGGAAGTTGATATTAATCCAATAAATGACACCAGTTCATCAGTTGAAGGTAAAGAATGAGGATATTAAACCAATAAATGACACTAGTTCAATAGTGCTAGAAGAAAAGAAGGAGGTTGAAAAGGAAATAGAAGAGGATGTAATAATGCTAGACGAAAAGAAGGATGATAAAAAGGACTTTTTTTTGGGGGGGGGGGGGATAATAATAAAAAAAATAAAAAAGGAGTAGCAGGTCGGGGAGTAGGCAAATTAACTCAACTCCAAAAAAAGAGGGAAAGAGAATAGAAAGATTTTAAGAAAACATTCAGCCTTTGATTATATACTACTTATCCATTAAATTATGTGTTTATGATCTAACAAAATAATCAGAATTAGAATTTAGTAATCGGCCTATATTAATAAAAATATAGAAAATATTAATGAAAATAACTTGTATTGATTCAGCAACCTATGGTGGAGGGAGGGGGATGGGATAGTGGTATAAAAGGAGAATTTCTGCCTATTTAAGAGTCACAAACCCTTGCTCTCTCTCCAGCTCCAGTGTCAGGTGTACAGTCTACTGAAATTAAGCAGTTTATCATTCAGTAGGGTAGTGGCGGGCGTCATTACAGTTTAACTGTTGATCCATATGCAGTCATCTAGTCCATCAAGAATTACATAACAACAAGCTTCAATAATCAATTCCTTACCAGTTCAGTTTATGAATCAAATCATAAAAAAAAACACACACTCTATTTCTTATTGTTATAGTACCTACATTAACTACTTATGTACGCAATGATCAGGTACAGCCGAAGCTGAAGGAACAAGTCAGAATATACCACTTCCTAAGCCATTTGGAAACATATAAAGAGAGTATAGTGTAAAATGATTGACTTGTAATTATTTGTCTCTTTCAGGTAAATTAACATTTAGAGATTGATTTTTTATTCATTATACTACAGTAAAACACAATTATAATAGTAATTTTAATTTATTGTTATTCGTTCTTTCCTCCCTCTATCCTCCCCCACCCCTTGTTTCCGAACTGATGAAGGGTTTCGAGATAACTACTAACTCTTCTGGGGAAGCAAAAGAACAAGCTGAAAGAGGCCAAGCTGCATCTGTCTTACTTGAGCAAATGTCTTGTTTGGTTGAATCAACGGTAAAAGCAAGGTCATCTTCTTCATCTTCTTCCTCATTATCGTCTTTATCGTCGTCCTCATCGTCGTCCTTATCGTCGTCCTCAGACGCATTCGAAAGTGACCGGTTGATTGACAAACTAAAGGGCTTGGTACTAAATAAGGCCATAAAGAGAAAGATGAAGAAGAAAGAAAAGGCACTAAGGAAGCTTGATTCTAGAAAAATCAAATGGCCATGGTCTTCAGATGGAGATGATGACACCAAGTCAGGGGAGGAATGGGAGAAGCAGGAGAATGTGGAGGAACGTGTCTTCGGTCAGGAAACAACAACAGGCACAGGTATGTATTTGTAATTAACTTTACTAATAAGAGGATTAATTTCAGTTGTACGTTATTTATTTTTTTGTGATTAAAAGTTTTTTTTTTTTAATCTGTGAATTCCTATGCTCTGTTAAAATTTATTCGGTAGAGAATATATTAATGTCTTTCTTATTTGCTACTACACAGCTCCGCAACTTCCCAAAAAGAGATGTCGAAGTGACAGACACTAAATGGAAGATAGAAGTTGTTCAGACCATTCGGAATTTACTTTTTTTTTTTTTTTTACCGAAGCCATCATGGATAAAATCACACAGACTGGAGAAAAAAATGAGGAATGCCTGTATAGCAGAACCTTGAAACCGGTTTCTGAATGTTGTTGGCTGCATTGTGGTGGCTTATTTCCCCAAGAAAATACTTTTACAAAATAAGCATGAATGGACAGTTCAATCAGAAAATAGTAGTAGTTGTTAGTCACTCTAAATAAATAATTGGGGTAAAAAAAGGTAAAAAAATGAGATACTGAATATATTATATTATTTCCACAAATTAATTTATTTTATTATCCTACCCCAACCCAAATTTTTCCAAAAGGCTCCCAGGCCCCCACCTTTTTCTAGTATTTGGGCAATTTTTAATTCAAATTCACTTTTTTACGGAACTTCTTCAACCCAGCAGCCAAAAGCACCGGTGTCGAGCAATAGTGGGATCGCATCCGTGAGTGGGCATCCCGTAGCAGTCATACTCCCCAATTTCATTAACTTTCTGTCGCCCACAAGTTAAGGTAAAGAAGCTGCGCTGAAAAAAAAATTGAAACAATGCTTATTGATGTCACAGAGAGAACATCAATACACCTCAATCAAAAGAATATTGATTAGAAAAAACGATGAACACCACCAACCTCAAGCAGAAGAATACTGATTTAATAAAAAATTTTTGGACCGTTGAAGGTTGAAGTCAACATTTTTAAAAGTGATATTTTAGATAAAGTGTTGAAAACCTTGTGATCAAACTCATGGCGGCGAAGTCCACCTAGTAATGTAATAGCTGGTTGCCCGGAGCAGTACTGTGTCAGTTGAGCCATATAAATATTCGTTGCCGCCGACCACTCTCACTCTTATATTACATCCACTGATGGCCAGCTTCGCTGCTCTTCCAAAGAAAAAGTAGTCCGAGATGCTCTCTCCTCAGATGAACCCCAGGATGGAGAATAGGACACAAGATACGCTGAAAAAAACCTTGAAACTATGCTGGGAAGAGGAAGAGGAGACACTAATATTGAATATAGAGAAAGAGTTGTTACAAATAATCCACGACATCAAGCTGAACAACACCAACCTCAAGCAGAACAATACCGACATCATCAAGCAGAATGAGACAATACTTTTGAAGACAGACCAAGAGTTGTTACAATTAATCAGCAAAATAATCACCAACATCAAGCAGAACAACACCGACATCAATCAGAACAACACACTATTGAAGATGATAGAGCAAGAGTTATTAAAAATAATCACTTACCTGAAGCAGAACTACACCGACCTCAAGCAGGAGATTGATGATTTAAAAAATGAAATTAAAGAGTTGGAAGGCTGAAACAACCCGCCTTTCTTTTGAGGAATTGATATGTGCAACCACTTGGAAGTCATATTAATTTATAATGGGACCAAAGAGCCAATGTTATTCAAAACTTCCGCACAGTGACTGACATAGTG